CAGAGGCACTGGTGTGCCATCCACATTGTGCTCCCCTGAAGTGTCCTGTCTCACTCGGGCTGCTCCTCGTGGGCTCCCGGGGTTCGCTGGAGCCCTGTGGGGAGTGCTCTTCCTGCTTTCCACTGAGAGCGACATCTGGTGGGCTCATTTGGAGCTGTGGCTGTAAGCCAGGGCCAAACTCCACTCCCCAGTCTAATCTACTCCCCGCTTCTGTTTCAGACTAAAAGCCAGTGAGCTCCCCAATGTCTTCATCTTCTTTCCATTATTAGCTTGAGCGACTGGAATTCTTCTGAGGCCATTTCCCAGAAAGAAACCATGTTTATCACTGAGCGGACAGCTAGGCTCACTCGCTAGTTCAGGTCCACACTGACATTCTGGCCCCTGCAAAGCTACGAATTATTACCAGGCATTTGGGTCACTTGGAATGACCCCAAACTGCATGATAAATCCTTAAATGTCAGGGATGTCATGGGTTTTCTGATCCCTCCACCCCCATCCTGAAGGCTGCCTTTAAGTTATCGAGAGTTGCACACCATGTAACACACATGCACACACATGTACACATGCACAAATGGGCACATATGCGTACAGACACAATGCACATCATGACCAGCAGGTGTGTGCTCACACAGGCACATGCATTTGCATATGCACACACATGCACATAGACAGGCATGTGCCACATACCTAAGCGCTTACAGGCACTCACACACATGATCACAAATGAACACATTCATGTATAATGCACACACTGTGCACACATCTGCTACACACACATACATGTGCACAAGGCATGTGCGCAAATGCATATCATATGTACACATGTACATCATGCAGGCACATGGTGCATTCATAGCCATGCATGCACACACACACACACAGAGTCGCAAACTTGCACCGCATGCACACATGCACATGCAACATGTATGCACGCTCAGGCTCAGTAAGTGCAGGCTTGCACACATGCTCTGCTGAGAACGAGTGAGGAAGAGGAGGGGCTGGACGCATCACTCCTGCTCTGCTGAGAACGAGTGAGGAAGAGGAGGAGGGGCTGGACGCATCACTCTTCTCTAGTTCACATGACTCTTCTTCTTTGGCATGAACTGTTGTTTTGGTGTCTTTCATCGTCTTTTTAGATCATAAAGACATGGGACTAGAACCAAGTGCCCGGGTGTTGCAGATGGGAGATGCGATTTCTAGCAATGAATCTTCTGGAACCAACCGGCATATCAGAGGAGCTTGGGGCCTCCGGGGGTGTTTGTCATTTCTGCAGGGCCCGCCGCCTCGAGGAGGCAACACAGCCGTGGGAACACACTGGGCAGGGAGCCCGCTCTTGCTCTGGATTGCAGTCTGCTGCTCTTGCTGTGTGAGCTCTGCCCATGTGCTCCCTCTCTGGTCCCCCTGGCTTTGACATTTTAAGATTCAATTATCCCCACGTAACAGATGGAGAAATTGTAGCTGAGAGAAGTGAAGGCACTTTCTTAGGATCGCGCACGAACAGTACCGCACGGTGAGCCTCCACCCCAGCGCCCATTGCCGAAGGGCTGCTCAAATTTGAACATGCACACAGATCGCCTGGGGACCTTGTTAAAGTGCAGGCTCTAACTGTGCTAGGTCTGGGGTGGACTAAGAGTCTTTCTAACAAGCTCCCAAGTGACAGCGAGGCTGCTGGCCTGTGACTACACCTCACTAGAAAGGCCTGCCACTCTTCCACAGTTTTTCCATTTTTTTTGGAGAGATTTTTGCTATAGGGCATGTGCGCTCGCTGGAGAGACAGAGAGAGACAGAGGGACAGAAAGTGAGAAATCATCCCCCAGGGGGATGGCCACAGTGCAATCCCTTCTCCGTTCTCCTCCTGGGATCTTGGGAATACACACGTGCCCAGCATGACTTTGAAGCCATGTCCAGGACTCAAACTGCAGTGGGCCATGAGGGAGTCCAGCAATGTAACCACTACGCCATCTGCTGGTCCCTGTAGTTTTTGAAAAGGGAAGGTGAGGCTGAGGCTTGGCTCTCCTGCATTACACCAGCTCCTCTGGCCGGACCATGGTGACGTCACCTTCTCTCAGAGCTGGACCTCTTTCTCTTTGGCTCTGGGTCTCCCAGTGTCACCTCCCATTTCTGAGCCATTTCCTCACCCACCCCACCCCACCTCTGATGCTCTGGGCGTCAGCAGAATGGAGACATTCGACTCCTCAAGACTCAGCTTCTCACCACCAGGGCAAGTCTCTTCTCCCCCCAGAACCTCAGTTTCTCCACCTGAACAAAGAGGGGTTTGTGTTAAATCTGCCCTCAGCCTTGGCAGCACACTGGAACCAGGGCCAAGTGCCCCAGCCTGGGTGGCACTCTTGGACAGGGGCGAGGCCTAGACAGGGACACTTTCTAAAGTTGCCCAGGTGATTCCAGCAGGACACCAGGATTGAGAAACAGGTCTGGTGACCACTAAAGGTCAGCCCAACGCCAAAGGTCAGTGTGCAGTCTGCTGGCCAGTTGGCATGCCAGGCCACACCACACCACGCCACACCATGCCACACCACGCGGTCAGATGCAGGGCTCAGGAACCGGTTGGAAAAACCTCGGAAAAATTTTGGCACTTCTGTTACACAAGGTCACGCTCCCCCATGGAACAGGGCTCTTGAAATGACGCTTGGGATAAAGACCCTGGCTTTGAGCTGAACTTTCTTTTCTTCTGACTGGCACATGATGCAAGTTTTAATGAAAGACTCATCCCCACACGTCAGTCATCCACAGACCTCCCCCACCGACGCACCCTCCCACGGAGGGCTGGAAAGAGCAACTGTGTGCGAGGTGCGGTGGGAGGGTGCAGGAGGAGGGCTGGTCCAAAGCAGCCGCTGAAGACCGCGAGTTAACCTGACTTGGTAGTCAAATAAGAGACCGAATTAGCTGGAGCCCCCTTGGGCACCTCACAGCAGAGCCCAAATGGAACCATGAAAAGGTTTCCTTGAAACCTGCCGGATGTACGTCTGCAGAGTCCCGAGGTTTCCATAGCAACCTGCCTCTTCCTAGGGCTGACAATGGGCTTTATCACCAGGGGGAGGCTTTTGGTGTCTGAGGAGCCCTGCTTGGGATGGGTCAGGCTGAGCCACAGTGCCTACTAGCTCTCCCAACCCCCTAGACGTGGGATCATCGGGAGGAGGACAGTTAGTGCTTTAGCTCTCCACAGCCCCTGGCCATGCAGGGCTGTGGCCAAGCACTTGGAGCCTGGAGCAGACCACCCCAGGTTCATGCCCTGGCTCGGCCACCTCGGACTAGGGACCTGCATGCCGGTTATTTATAGCTCCACGCCTCGGTCTCCCCCCGTGCAGTGAGAGCAGTAATGCCGTCCTCTTTGTAGGACCCTGACGATTATGTGAGTCCATTAAGGGAAGTCCTTGTGTGAAGTCTGGCCCTGGTAGGCCCTGTGTTTTCTCTCTTCACTGGTAGATGGTGAGACAGTCTCTAGGTTGGGAGGGCCCTGCCAGGCCCTTGGTCTCCCCATTGCAGGGGACTGGTTCTGAAGTTTGGGCTGGAGAAGTTTTAGTCACCCCAAAGTCCAGGGAACCCCATCTGTACCAGGATCTCTGAGGGTAGGATTCAGACATCGGGTTTTAGAAAATTCTACAGGTAGTTCCGATGCTCATCCTCTCACAAGCCAATAGAAGTCTGTATTTGCAGCCGGAAGAAGTCTGTATCTGGCCTGAGTCCTGAGCCCCACGGAGGGACTGAAGAAAGAGTAGAATCAGAGAGGCACAGACGGGAACAAGTGTTTGCTCAGTCCTAGGCAGCCTCTGCTTGCCCATTCATTCATTCCAGCAAGCACTCCAGGAACCAGGCAGAGGGATGCCGAGGTGCTGCTTCCTGAGCTGCAGGCAGCAGACACGCATCGCCCCATGCACAGACGCACCTTAGCGGCAGGCGGTGGTGCAGGCGGTGGTGAAGGCAGCGGAGTCTGGTTCTGGGTTATTTGTTCTGATCTCACCTCTGACTCGGGGTGCCAGTGTGTGAGGTGGGGGAGGCACTGGGCCAGGCCTGCGGCGCTGCGGCCAGCTGGGGTCTTGCACCATTACCCAGGCAATGCCAGGGCACTGATAGGCTTTAAGCATGGAAGAGACATGATCGGATTTGCAATTTAACAAGATCCTCATGGCTGCAACTGGGGCACCAGACACTGGGACTATCCGCCAAGTCTGTTCGATGGCCATGAGCCAGAGGCCCAGGGAGGCTGAGTCACTGTCACCCTCATGGCCCGCAGGGCCACCGAGGCTCGACTCCACCCCAGGTCTTCAACCCCAAATCTGGGTTCTTTCCACTTCCCCTTCCCCTTGCGTTCATCCCTGTCTTGTCACTGCCTCCCCTTCCACCTGCACTATCTCGTTATAAACTCCCAAGTCCCCACGAGACCAGCTTGTTAATCCACGTTAGACGGCATCCTTTCCCAAAGCCTCTGCGGGTCAAGTCTTCACTCTTTGGGGATCTGTCTGATTTCAAGAAGCAGGATAAGGCAGGTGACTGTATTAGTTATCTCTTGCTGTGTAACAAATTGCTCCCAACTTAGTGGCTTAAAACAATAATAAACTGAGACCAGCAGGTGGCTTGGTGATTAAGGCGCTGGACTCCCACATGGCCAACTGTGGTTCAAGTCCTGAACCTGGCAACTTGTGTTCTCACTTTCCCTTTCTCTCTCTCTCTCTTTCTGTGGTCATTTTAAAAAACAATAGTAACCAATGAAATAAAATAAATAAATAATTATTAAGGGAAAAAAACCTCAACAATAATAAACCTTTATTCTTTCACCCTGTTTCTGTGGGCCAGGATCTTGGAGCAGCTCAGCTGGGTCATCTGGTTCCAGGTCTCTCCCTTTCCCAAGGCCTCAGTTTCCCCAGTTGTAAAGCAAAGGCGCTTACTCCAGGCCCTGATATTCCTCCTGGCCTGGATATTCAAACAAGTTGGACTCTCCCGCCCTCTCCTCCCTGCCTGGGCTGAGTGACCTGTGAGTCACTGATGCGTAAACATTTGCGCTTCTTCCACAAAGAGCTTCAGTCTACGGCTGGGCCCTTTGTACTTTCCTACCGGGAAACACCAGATGAGACCCAAACCAGAGGTGAGGTGAGAACAGCAGACCTGAAACGTCAGCACTCCAAGGCCCTGCGTTGCGGTGAGTTGCCCTGTCCGTGGGTTACAGACCGCTGTCATCTGCTGTGGGCCACCGATGGGGTCTTCGGCATCTGTCTTGGGAAGCTTTGGGACGCGAGTCCTTGAAGAGCAGACATACTACACAGGGCAGTGACTGGTGGACAGGCAGCAGCTAGTCCTCTGAGATTTGCGGGCTGCTCTGGCCAGGGCCTGGGTGACTTGAAATGCTCAGGAAGGAGTCTTTGACTTCCCACTGCTCAGTCTCAAGACAACTGATTCTGCCCGGGCTATCAGTCACATCCTGGTTCTCAGGGGAGATAGGACTTGAAACCACCCAGAGATAGGAACTCCAACCTGCTGAGTTACTGTGAGTCTGGGACTAGCTAGAGTCAGGGGAGACAATGGCAAGCTCCCAGCTCACTCCAAAACAAGACAGCCTTGGTGGAGCTCAGAATGAGGTAGGCCAGGAGGACAGTGATCACACGATCACACAAGAAAGGGGACATTACGGGTCTGCCCGGGCCGTTGGGTATGCAAGGGGATGCGCTCTACGTGGGGGGACTGGGAAGGCTTCCTGGACAGGTGCAGGTTCAGCTGAGGTCAGACAGTAAGTACAAACGAAATAGGACAAAGAATACTCCCCCTCCAAGGACCTCATCTGATTTGTCAAGAGGACAGGGAGATTGATGGGAGAAGAAAGGTCAAGGGCAGGAATTCAGGGACAAACGCAACCGGGGTGGAGCATGGTTGGAATCATGGATCAGCAGCCTGTCACCCTGGGCAGTTTTCCTGAGAGCCAGCACCTGGGAGACATTTGCGTCCTGGCCAACAGCAAAGAGCAGGATTCCAGCCAATAGGAACTCTCAGAGCCTCGTGCCCCCGGGAGGAACTGCATGGATAGTTCCACACTCAGTGACTCCTGGAAGCCAGAAACCCTCACCCCTGCCTCCTGGCTGGTTCCAGCCCCTCCAAGCCTCAGCCCTGCAGCTGCCCTGGTGCCATCAGGTGCAGGGGGCACAGGCCAGGGCAGCACCCCTAGAGACAATGCCACCCGTCCTGGCTCTCTTGAGATTCTGGCCTCTGTGGAGTGGCATCAAGGCTGGGGCTGTTTTGGGCATATGTTGGGATCTACTCTCGGGC